GAGAATTGCTTGTACCCAGGAGGCGGAGGTTGCAGTAAGCTGAGATTGTGCCACTGCACACCAGCCTGGGTGACAGAGCTCAACTCTGTCTCAGAAAAAAAAAAAAAAAAAGTCAATCTAACAGCCTAAATATACTGAAAGACAACTTTGTTCTTTACTGAAGTCTCATTAAAAGATAAAGAATCCCATTCGTACCTTATAAAACTTAAAAACTTCTTTCCCAATTTCTCTATTATTATCCCCACCAAAGAACAGCTGCCTTCAATCTCTAGTGTTTCCTCCTTCAAAATCCCAACACTCTCTCAAAACAACCTCCTTTCCTCTCCTCTCCTCCCCTCCGCTTCTCTTCTCTCCTCTCCTGTCCCCTTTTCTGGTTATCCTTCCTTCCTTCCTCCCTCCTTCCCTCCCTCCTATACTTCTCTCCTTCCACCTTACACACATTTCTCCAGTTCTCTGCCTCACCTATAATCACAGACATCATGAGAAAAGGGTCAAGCACTGGACAAGCTAATGGAGACCTCTTTTCAAAAGACCAAGCATAGAGGAGACAGTGAATATATACATGTCACTGTGTTTTATCCCTGTCACATGGATATCACGCTAGGCTGTTGTGAAGGGCAGATGACATTATGCTACCAAATGCTCCCACCAGGAAGGGATATTGATTATTCTCTCCTCCTATGTGATGACCTTTCAGCACACTTCTCCGTTGTGCTTTGTTTTAAGAGTTCCATACTTCAATTTGTATTTGAAAAAATGCCTATAACTACTGTGTCAGAGAGGAAAAATACCTTTTCCTTTATCCTTCTAGGTTCATATCTGGAGATCAGCGAATTAAATTGATAACAGGTAGATTAACAGGAGAAAAATTTATTGATGCATGCTATATACATACACATGAGGTGCTCAGTGATTAGTAAGTCAAAGGGGTGGTTAAAATTTGGGGCAAATACACCTAACTTAGTAGGGAGAAGGATGGAGAGGGAAAAGGCTCCAATGGGAAGGATATGTGTGTTTCTTTAGGAAAGACAAATGGGTTTTTAAAAGAACAAATGAGAGATAAGAAAGTTTGTGATAATATCTGCCTATGCAGGTACCATTGGTCTTTCTATCCACTTTAGAGCCATAAAACTCCTCCAGGAAGAGAACTGGGATAGGTTTTATTTGTATTTTTTCTTCTGAGAGTGGATTCGGTCTGAAGTGGGAATTTATAAAAGCTTTATTTTCCAAAAGTTGTTGCTTTCAGTCATACAAGGGAAACTCCAAGAAGGCTTCTTTCTGCATCTGTCTTCAAATCTCAGATGTCTTCAGCTTAAAATAATCATTATATTAATGACATCAAGAGACAGAGTAAAAAGATATGTCTCAACTTATCCTTTTTAAAAAAGAAAGTTTGAGCGTATGGTAGTACAAGAATATAAAGATATCAAAATCATGATGATGGTTCATGAGTTACCAAGTGAGAGACGTCACCCCAGCCTGTTATGAAACAATGTCTTGATAGAACAATCTGAATTAACATCTTGACACCTGACTGGGGCTGCACCTGAGACAGATGGTGAGGCCTGAGCTGTCTCTCCTTTGCCCTTAGAGAAGAAAAGGCAATCACGAGTCTTCTCTCTAGCAAGGACAACACCCAGGACCACCCTTTTCAGATCCTATGCAACTTTCAAGTCTTGCAGCCTCCAGTGTCCCTTCCTCTGAATTAACACAATAACATTTTTGCTTTTATTAGCTTTTCTGACACATTAATCCCCCACATCTGACTTACTAGATAGGTAGAATCTGCCATACGTAAGCCAACCATACTGGGTGATTATAAAGCTGTGGGAGATTAGAATTCACCCTGGGATTCTTTGAAGAGATCTCAATGTTGATGAGTTATAAACATCCTCCTTTTCTTTCCAGCTAATTACTGAAGTACTACCACTTCTTTGATAAGATACTGACAGTGATCGTGGCTGTGGACCTAATTAGGAAGCTCCTCAAATATTTCCTGTTGTCCAGGGATGCCATGTTATTCTTCTAGACTGTGTCAACACAGCTGGGTATAAAAAGCAATGCTCCTAGTTCCAACCTCCTTGTTGATGGGGACATCTTGGTTTCATCATCAAAAAGAATACAGAAAGTTTTCAGTCCTCAATTCTTAAGACCAGAACTGTCCTTTAAATGAAACTATCATATCACCTCTTAGGATTTCTAAGTTTCTTGTTTTCTGTTTTCTTTTGCTATTTCTGGAAATTTTGCTGAGGAGTTTGTAATTTCTTAAACACAGAGGCCATAGCAATAAGGACTTTAAACTCATGATGAAAAATACATTTAAAATACACACATACTGCCAGATTGGTTTTGTTTGTTTGTCTTGAAACAGTGTTTCACTCTGTCGCCCAGGCTGGAGTGCAGTGGCATAATCATGGCTCACTGCAGCCTTGGACTTCTGGCCTCAAGCCATCCTGCCTCCTCAGCCTCCAGAGTAGCGGGAATTACAGTCATGTGCTACCATGCCTGGCTAATTTTTTTAAAAAAATATTTGTAAAGATGGGATTCCACTATGTTGCCCAGGCTAGTCTCGAACTCCTGGGGTCAATCAATCTTCCCACCTCAGCTTCCCAAAGTGCTGGGATTACAGGTGCGAGCCATGCAGTGCCTGGCTTTTAAAATATTATTATTATTATTATTATTCTTGTTATTATTATTTTAAACCTTACTTTGGTTTATTTAGAAAACTGATTATTTTCCAGGCAATAGAAAATATTTCTTTTCATCTTTGTCTTAGGGCATTGTCTTTACTTACCTGTACATTTTTTAGAAAAGTTGCAAGGTTTTATAGTTGGCCTAGTTCTTTGTAAATACCTTTTAGGCAAAATTCAGATGTATTAATGAAATACCAAATACTCCGTTACCTGACATTTGGAGAAAAGGATAAAATACATACATTTCTGAGCAACGTTTTTGGAAAAGTTACTCTTGGTGACTGAATTTTAATCACCAGTTTAGAGACTTCAGTTTTTCCATCCTGGTCCTGAAGACCCAGAAAGTATTCCTAGTAAGCTGCACTGCATCACATTTTTCTGAGTCTTTGTATTTTCTAAAGGACTTCTACATGTATTATAATGTTTAGGTGTCACACAGGGTGACCAAAGTACCAGTTTGTCCAGGACTGTCCTAATTTAGCACTGAAAGTCTTGTGACCCAGGAAACCCTTCAGTCCTGGGCAAATTGGGATGGTTTTTACTGTAGCACAGCAGCCTCATGAAATAGAGAGGGAAGAGTTTATGCCCATTTTATATATTTAAAAAATGAGGTAACGTAAGATTTTATATCACTTCCCCAAAGTCACAGAATATGTATTTTTACTATGATCCCGTTCTTTCTCTACTGAAATCTACACTATTAATCTTTCTTTGGGGCTCTGGGCTCTTCATGGGCAGGAATTTTATTATTTATCTTGTATCCCTGCCCTGGGACAGCTCCAGGGTCTGAGGAGGCTCTCCACAAATGTGTCCACACGTCTGTTGAAAGAAACATAAGGTTAAAATATTGGGGATAAGGGTTTTTCTTTCTAAGGCCTACAGTATAATTAATGGAGATCAAAGTGAAACACTACAAAAAAACTGAAATGAAGGGAAAAGCTGTCATCCAGATTGGTCTTCATCTCGCCTCTCCTACCAGAGGGCTCCACCGTCTGGCTGCTGCATTTCTTACAAGAGTTATCATCAACCTCTTCTAGATGTTGTGTTTTTAATTATCCATGTTAAATACATCAAATCCAGTCACCTGTGTCTTGAGAATTTCTCTCATTTCACATCCACATCTCCATTCTTACTGCTGAATTCTCATATGAGACCTTACTTCCCACCCTCCCTCCATTTCTACCTTCATTTCCTCTCCTTCCTGGACTCATCTTCCTTAAATCTTCCTCTGCTATGTCACTCTGTTACTCATGAGCTCACGATGGCTCCCTGTTGCTTGCTAACCAGTTGAGACTGTCTTCTTGTCACCCAAACTCCCTAAAAATCTCCTCCTGACCTACTTGATTTTACTTCCCACTCCTCCTGAAGTAAGCCTTCTATCTAAATCAAGACTCTTCCTCTCAATACTCTTACCCTGCCTCCGAGCTTGAAATATTTATGAAGCATCTGACAGATAGTTGGAAAAATAGATATAAGACCAGAGAGAGTAGGAGCTAGCTCTACTCTGAGTGGTGAGTAGTTGAGGTCATTGGAGTAGATGAGGTCACCCAGGCCAAGTGTCTAAACCACAGCTCACAAAGAAGTGGCCTTTGTTCTCAGTTCAATTTTTATTAGGCCCCACAAATAATGTTAAAAAGAAACATTGAAGTAGTTGGCAATATTTTCAAACGTGGCCTTTTATATAAAAAACACATTTCCAACTTCTTTTGAAAGAGTTTTAGATCTTGGTCACCTGTGGCCTGTCCCCTCACCTGGCCACAATTAGCTGGACATGGTTTGTATTTGAAGTGAAATCCATGACCATCGAGTTCACACGAAGTCTTCTTTCCCCTTCATCTTCTCTACTTGAATCTGTGACCCTTTGTATAAAAGAAGTGGAAGAGAGAAGAAAGGTGGAAAGAGAAGTCAAAGAAAAGGGGAAGGAAGAGAGAGAAAAGGAGAAAACGGGAATGGAGAAGCACAGAAAGAAATGAAGAAACCCCCAAAAAAGTGGGGTGTACAGGCTTTACTGCAAAGCTCAGAGTCTGAAGGAAGGAATCAGATACTTAAGCTGGGCCAGGAGTAAAATTCCACCAAAAAAGAAAAAGAATAATCACATCCAAGATGACATTGAAACACATGGTCAAAGGCTGAGAGGGTATGAAATCAGAGCCCATCTGAAATGCACACCTCCCATTACCTTTGTCTCCACCTGTGAAAGCTTCAGGCATGTCAGGCATCAATTTGCATATCAGTGCCTGCCATTAGCAGTATGCTCTGTCTTTCATTCCTGTATATAACACTCACTCACTGTCAAAACTAACACCTTCACACCAGGCCTTTCCCTTTGTCCACATGCTGGCCTGCTGTGACCACAGTCAGAAAATCAGATCTGCTTAGATGAGGGTAAAAATCAAATCTGCAATGGAAATATTGTCCCCTCCACTATCCACTCAGGTGGCTTCTCCAATTATGTCAGTAACTTTCCTTCCCAGGAGGTGAGCTTCAGAGCATCACGTCTGCCATAGTTAGGTCCACACATACCATGCAATATTTCAAGATGCTCACAACCTCCAAATCTAGGTTTCCTGTGACACTTCAGACTGTTTGGAAGTTTCAGAAAAGTGTCAAGAAGGCAAGTGATTTGGACTATACAATGTACAGGTGCAACAAGGCGATGCTATCAGACAAACCAAGTGTTAAGATATAAAATAAATCCTGCTTCAAGATAAAGTGGAAGAATGGCTGGGCTCTCTAACTCAGGTTTCTCGGCACAAGGCCTTCATTAAATAAATCCCTATGAAATGATGGATTGGACGAGTAGAATTGCAAACTGGATATACTGCCTACTGTTGAAGAGATAAACAGAGTTTTCATCACCTATTTTATCTTCTAAATGATATAGTTTGCCATTTCCGACAACCTCTGACAAGCTCTCTTATTAGCCTAACAGGAATAATCTTGATAAACAAGTAAATATGGTTCGATCCTTTTGGGCTGTTTGCCCAAAATCTGGATTCATTGATCCGAGCTCACGCTTAGATGGGAGGCGCCGACTGTTGTAATCTACATGTAATAGGCATTATGAGATTTAAGAAAAATAGCTCAGCTGCAGTGAGTCAGTTTAGGACAGATCATTATAAAATTCCATTATCGCCGCTACAAGTTGGACTATTTGTCATCACAGAAGAGATGACAAGCTCAGAAATACTACATTTGTTATTATCAGATGATAAATGATATTCCATTAAAGCTGCAATACATCATCGGCAAAACTGCAAAGAAGATATCAAACCTATCAGGACTTGACTTATAATTTAATTTTCAAAAGCTGTCAACTAAAATTCCAAAGGCTAAGCATTTTCATTTTTAAAGTTCATCTTATTTATTTTCCTCATCTGTTAGTCTAATTTCGGTGATATGGCAAAAATAACTGATTATGTGCAATGTATAATTCTCTTATTTTGATTAGGTAATATATCAGGTGTCACTTAGGTATTAAAAATTAAATGACAGATAATAAAACAAGAGAGTTCCATAAAACACATCTTATTTTGATTTACTCACGTTTTTAAATATATCAGCAAAGGACAGGTCAATATTTGTTAAAGGCACACACATGCAGCAAAAAAGCGTATTTACCGATTATTAAGCACTCTTTCATGCCATCTATGGGGAGCTGAACATGATTTTCTATTTGGTGTTTATAAAATCTTTTCGCAGATGGACAACTATTCTTTAGTTCAATTCTCTAAATCATAATCACATATTTCTTCTATATATGCAAGTGCCCATGTTTTTTTCTGTTATTTTCATCACTACCAAAAAAGCACTCAAATGCTGACTGGGACAGGAACAATCCTTATCAATTTTTACTGGCATGAACATAAAGACACAACCTTTCAATATATGTGTGTCTTTCTCACACCCATAGACTTGTAGACATATTTGAAAATATTTGTGAACCACCTGAGGCTAGCTATAGAAATAGAATCAGCACATCTGGGAGCTGGAGGGCAACTCTGAGATCATCTGAAAGGCTGAGAGAAGGGAAAGAACTTGCCCAAAATCACACAGCAGGTAAGTAAAAATGACTGGAGAAGAAGCCATGATCTTGGACGCCTATTCTAATTTATTTGCTATAACACCATACTGATTTTTGAAGTCTTATAAAAAATGTGATGCTTATTACTCAGTTTTTGGCTAAAAGTCTGGCTTATAGTTGGTACTCCTTAAAGATTTTTTAATAAAGTGGACATACAAATGGATGGATGGATGGATGGATGGGTGGATGGATGGATGGATGAATGAATAATTGCCTACTTCTCTAATCCACCACATGAAGGTGAAGGTCTCATTCATGTAAATAAAACCTCCAGAGCCTAACCCAATCCCACCTTTTTAAAATGTAGAATGTAAGATTTTTTCCACAGAAACTGTGTCCACTGCCTCTCAGGTCTTGTAGAGACACCGAGGTACTCTAAAAAAGAAAGGGGAGTCTCTTTGCCCAACATTGAGCCGATCACAAATATATGGCTTCAAACCACAAAGGGAAGCAAAGGAGCTGGTGCTCAGAGGCATCTTCTACTGCTCAGGGATTGTAACACAACCACATGTCCAAATAGGTAAAGCTGCATTTACATCTCATTGGCCCTGTGAGCCACTGGGGACGCCACACATCTGTGACACAACAATGTACAGGCAAAACGAATAAAAGAAGGGAAATAGAGTGAGTTTTCCAAAAACCGGATGAATTCAATTCAAAGGACTCCTTCTTCCCCTCCTCTTCCTCCTCTTCCTCCTCCTCCTTCTTCTTCTCCTCCTCTTCTTCTTTCTTCCTTCTTTCTTCTTGCTGTTCTTCTCCTCTTTTTCCTCTCCTCCTGCTCCTTCTCCTTCTTTCCTATGGTACAATAGAAATAATATAAAATTCACTATTTTAACCATTTTTTAAGAATTCATTGACATTAATTACATTTTCAGTGCTGTGCAACCATTGTTACTATTTTCAAAACTTTTCATCATGCCAAGCAGAAATTTTGCACCTATTAATCATTAACTCCTCATTTCCCACTCTCCCAAGTCCCTGAGAACCTTGAATCTATTTTCTGTCTCTATGAATCTGCCTATTTCATATATTTCATATACGTGAGATTATATATTTGCTCTTTTTCGAGAAGGACTGTCTTCTTAACTATTAAACTGATATACATTTGTTGCAAATACATGAAGGAATATATTAATTTAGAGTAATAAACAAATGTCTCAAACTTATCTTTCACCCCTCCCTCCAGCCCATCCCTTCTCTTCAGATGTAACCTCTGACAACAGTGGTGTTCTTCCCTGGGTTTTTCTAGGTTTGGACACCTAAGTTGTATCATGACTTCTAGAATAGGCTCTGGAATCAGACTACCTGAATGTATGATGCTGGGAAAGTTATTTAACCTCTTTAAGCCTCAATTTCTGCATTTATAAAATGGCATGGACAACAATACCACTCTGTCAGCATTGTGAGCATGAAAGGAGATAAGGGTTTTTTTGTTGTTTTTTTTTTTAACATTTTGTTTTTGTTGTGTTTTTCTGTGAGACGGAATCTTGCTCTGTCACCCAGGTTGGAGTGCTGTGGTGCGATCTCGGCTCACTGCAATCTCCGTCTCCCGGGTTCAAGCAATTCTCCTGCCTCAGCCTCCTGAGTCCCTGGAACTACAGGCTCATGCCACTACACTGACTAATTTTGTATTTTTATTTTTAGTAGAGACAAGGTTTCACCATGTTGGCCAGGCTGGTCTCAAACTCCTAACTTCAGGTGATCCATCTGCCTCAGACTTTCAAAGTACTGGGATTACAGGCATGAGCCATCGTACCCAGCCAAGATAAGGGTTTTAAAAGCACTTTGCCCAGTGCCAGATAAACACTAATAACTTATCAAATGGTAACTGAGTATTATATGGAACTTTGGTTTTTAAAAGGAAAAATGTGATCACATTATTCTTGTTGTTCTCCATCTTGCTTTCAAAACTCCTTCCTTACTGGCACACGTACGCCCACCTCATGCTTTCTTAACTGCTGTATAATCTTAAATCTCTATAGTTTGTTTGCAGATACATCCTTCGGGTATTTTAATTTTATTTTATAAAATTACTGGAGCTTGGCATTCTGGAGCCAGCGGTGTTTCCAGGTGGGTCAACACAACTTGAGGACTCTAAAAACTGATGACAAAAAGGAGAAGATGAATCATTTAATGAACTCCAACTGCGTTCCAAGTATTATGCTGATGTCTCATTTCTGGCCCTCACCACACTGTTCTGCCTTTGTGGAAATAGGCTATTAGGTCAGCTGAGTGTGATGGTCCTGACTATGGTTAAGAATGGTTTTACCTTCTGGGACTGGGCTGTCCACACACAAATAACTCGCTAGTCCTTATAAAAAATAGACATAGACAAAAACCAATTACCCTCTTATTTTTCAAATATTAGATATTGAATTCAGATATTATATTATTAATACATATGAATATTACGAATTATATTAAAACAGTATTATTACTTAGATTATACTTAGTATTATTAAAATCACTATATATTAATTAATTAATAATATCATATAGTAATATTAGTACTATATTGCATAGTATATAATATATAATTATTATATAGTAATAATAATTAATAGTTATTATTTATTATAATAATATAATAGATAAAAATATCATTATATATAATTATAGTAATTATTTGTAATACCAATTTATTATATAGTAATACTAGTATTATATAGTATAATTAATTAATATATATTTAAATATAGTAATACTATATTAATTAATATACAGTAATTATAATTGCTCTCTTAATATCTAATACCCATTAATATCTAAATTCAAACTCCTGACATATAGTCTAGTTGCAGCAGTCTGCTTTATATTTAAAATTTCCAAGCTTCATCTACTTCTGATGAAAGTCTGGTGAATAAAGATACTCTTCACATACAGGAACATTTTCCTGGAATAGCTCAGGCCCAAGAAAAAAAAAATTTCCCGGAGGCCCCTTGTCAAGAGTTAGTTTTTTAATTGCCTGGGGCTCCAGTTGTCCTCTTATCTTCTAAAAATTCTTCCCAATTTTCCCAGCCATATTTAAGTCCCACTAACTCCATGAAATCTTCCCATATCTTCTCCAATCCATGGATTTCTTCTTTTGATTAATTCTCACAAGTGCCATATTCTAGGCAACATTGTTGGAGTATTTACTCTTTCTCTATTAATATTAGTTTTGCTGGACTGTAAATGCAACAAAAACAGTGATGGTTTATGATTTTCTTTTGATATCTGTTACACGACCTAGAATCATCTTGAGTGTATACACTGGGCTCAGTAAATATTTGTGGGTTCTAATCTCAAGTTAATAAGAACAACAAAAATCCCTACTTGTAAGGAAAAGAAAATGCCCATTTATTTCTTTTTCTTTCTTAACCCAATAATGTAATCCTTGGGAAAATATTTTTACATAGGAATCTTAATCTTGCCATGCCAATTTGAGAAAAGGATATTCTTTATTTGGTGTGTCACTGGATTTGTGTCAGTTCTTATGACCCATGGCTTGAAATGAGATGGGTTAGTAAACATTTATGAGTTTTTCTATGGTCTCTAAACAGAGCACTTTGAAACGAGCGAACTCAGATTCTGGTAAACTTTAGATAACTTAGAGAGAGAGAAGGTCTGTCCAAAGCAGTATTTACCAAATTTAGTTGGAGTTATTTGTAAAAGAAAAGGTTTTGATGGTCATAGAAGGCTTGAGAAATCATGATTAAACAAACTTATTTGTGTTTCTTCATTACAAAATTTCTCAGTACTTTTAATATGCTAATAACTTCTAAGAAGGAAAGCATTTCCCAAACTTCGTGAAATCCTCTTCACTTGAGCGAGTGTCTATGGGTCTATTATTTTGCGAGTCATTTGTTTTCACCTCTTCTCACGAGTTAGTTTTTTAATTGCCTGTTTAATAATCTGTCACTCACCTGGTACAGAGCCCTCAATGGAGGTCTTCTGACTAAGCACAAGGCTACCCTGATTTCCGTCAAGACAGGAGTAATGCTAGTTCCCATCCACCCCACCCCCATCCCCTACCTTTGTAGAATCCTCTTTTGTAATAATGACAGTGTGTTTAGGAGACCTTCGTTTAGCTTAAGTATTTCTTTTACTAAGCCTGTCTATTTTGCAAATTAATGTTTTTCTTTTCTTTTTTTTTTTTTTAAACAGACGTGGTCTTCCTCTGTCATCCAGGCTGGAGTGCGGTAGTATGATCATAGTTCACTGCAGCTTCAAACACCTAGGCTCAAGCGATCCTCCCACCTCAGCTTCCCAAGTAGCTGAGACTACAGGCCTGTGCCACCGAGTGTGGCTCTGTAGATTGATTTTTTGATGGCATAGCAAATCCTATTTCTCCATTGTCATGATGGTATTTATGTGTCATAAATATGTCAATATGAAGTTATTATAAAATAATCCATCCTGTTGGCATATAAAACATGTGTTTAGGCCTGCCAAAAATGCAACTCCTGCTCTCAGAACCAGCTGCCCAAGTATAGAATGGGGAAAAGGGGTGATTAGGAGTTGACAGCAAAACAGTAAAAGCCTATAGTTCTCCACTGAGTTTAGGTATATTTGTGCCACTATTATATTGCTAAAAGTAAATACAAATGATGATTTGAGGCTAAATTAACATGTTTATATGTAGAAGTTAAAGTACTTTTGCAGATCACTCAGGTACCAGGAAAGAGGGGGACTGCCCACTCTGTGCTGGTCAGACCACTGATGCAGAGTTTTGTCATCAGTTATGAGTCCTATATTCTAAGAAGCCAAGTGACAATTGTCAAAGTATAAAGAGGAAAGTGAGGGCAATCAAAAGGAGGTTGCACAAGGAGCATTAGATCTGGTACAATGTGGACATTTGTAAGGCTGTCAAGGGAGTTGCCTTCCGATCTCAGTTCTAAGTGCAAAGTCAGTGGGTGGATGTTATAGATAGACAGCTTCTGACTGCACCCAGGAAGATATGGTCAGAGGCATAAAAAAATAGAAGGTACGGCCTCTCACATTCATAAACATCTCATCATGAAGGATATTGAAGCAACTCCTTGGCCTCTACATTTGAAAGTAGATTTAATCATAAGGTAAAGATGGAACCAAGTCCACTAGGAATGTATTTAATGTAAAAGTAGTTGCAGGTCCTCTAGCAAAGGCAGATGTGCCAAAAAATTGTTCACCCAAGCCCTGTTCTGGCAGGGTGGGAAATGTGTGCCTGGTTCCCCCACTTCCTTTGTGCCCTGGATCAAAGGAACTTGCTCCAAAGTTCTGTCCCAGCTCTGAGGTCTATTAACAAATATATGATAGACTCTTATCAGCTTGTCATGGGGTCACCTAGTCATGACCTCAAGGAAGTCCCATCTTGTCTCTGAGCCCTGATTTACAACTCTGTGAACAGAAGACATTAAATTAGATGAGCCTAAGATTTCCTCCTGTTCTGACATTTTGTGATTTTATAGACATGCATGAAGCAGAGCAGGAGAAGAGCTTAAAAACCCACTTACTTTAGCTAAAGCAGTTTAGCTTTAGGAATCCTCCATTGAAAAACATACCATTTTCATCCATTCTTAGTTCAAAGCATCAGACTACAGATTAGGGTTTGTGTGTGTGTGTGTGTGTGTGTGTGTGTGTGTGTGTAGTAAACAGGGATTCAAGGAAATAAAACATGTTTGGAAAGTTTTTTTATATTTATTTTTATTTTTTGGTTTGTTTTTTTATGATGAGGTCTCACTCTCTTACCCAGGCTGGAGTGCAGTGGTGCAATCACAGCTCACTGCAGCCTCAACCTTCTGGGCTCAAGTGATCCTCCCACCTCAGCCTCCAAAGTAGCTATGACTACAGGCTTGGGCCACCATGCTTGGCTAATTTTTTGTAATTTTTTTTTCTTTTTGGAGATGGGGTTTTGTCATGTTGCCCAGGCTGGTGGTTGAGCTCCAGAGCTGAAGAGCCCACCTCAGCCTCCAAATGTGCTGGGATTACAGGCATGAGCCACCACACCCTGCCTCAGGAAAGTTTTACAAAGCAAGATGGAAAAGATGGGTCAGGGGCCTGGAGAGCTGGATATAAGCTCTTTGAGGAACAAAGGATTTGGGAATAGGAGGAGGGCTTGGAGGGAGAACATTTCCCAGTCAGTCCCAGCAAGGATCAGAGTCCACCAAACAACCCAAAGGAAGTGAATAGAAGAAGCAGCATTCCCAAAGCCATTTCTGGGTTTCCTTCTAACCACAACAGGAAGTTTTCTCTGATAACCAGTCCTCTTCTGGCTGAGTGCCATTGTGTGATGTCTCTGTTGCTGACACTGTTTCAGTTTCCCTAGCTGGACTAGACTGTCACTCATGACCAGTATTTGCCCTCTACAACTCTTAGATGTGATGTGGAAGACAAACCTGGAGTTTGGAGTTCCAAAAGATAAATGGTGAGCTGGATTCTCTCTACCATCCACCTCAACAAAGAAACTCTAGACTTCGTACCCACGCCCTGTAGCTAAGCTGAATGGGTCCTGCCCATTCTCAGGGACTTACCCAGGAGCTGACATGTCCATAGATGCCACCTGTAGATCCTGATGGGTCTACCTGGGCCTGAGCTCAGGGCTAGCTAGAAATGGGAGCCAGTACCCTTCCATGAGCAGCACTCTACCAATTTAGGAAAAGAGCTGGTGGAGGATGGACCAAGGTTTCCTGGCCCCTTAGGTCCCCTCGTAGTGGTTCTTAAAGGGCTCCAAGTGGGATTGGGCCCCCTATCTACAGCAGTACCTCATGTGTGACACTCTTCATTGGCCCTTTTCCTTCCCTATCATGTGAGACTCCCTAAAAGTGTTCCTTGGAATCAGTTTCCAAACAAATTATCTGTTCGCAAGTCCCCATCACGGGGGCTACTTTTAGAAGGACCACAGGCTTAGATCCCCATTAAACTCCACAAAGGCCATTTTGGCCCCTGCTGGGTGTAGCAATATTGCTAAGTCCTGTTTCATGGAACTTACAAGGGAAAACAATGGCAGGGCCCCAGTGGAAGTTGCTGTGAAAACCATAGCCCTGGGCACCATGTTCATCCTCCTCCACCCCCATCCCATGCATTCATCTCTGTCTTCTTTTTCAAATTTGATTTTAAATATTTACAGCATCATACATCTTCCCCCACCAGATATTACTAATGAACTGTTATTGTCTGCAAAACCTCCCAGATGAGTGATGGCCAACTTAAAAAGAGCATCAATGTTTTATTCGTGAAATAGAAGCCAGAAACAGAAAATGCTTATGCACTTTTAGGTCTTTGATCATTATTATTATTGATACTCCAGTACAGAGGAAGCACTAGGGCAATTAGCAAAATCAAACAGAACTGAAGATTCTATATAGCAGCAATAAAAATTATATAAATATGTAAATGCTTACAAACGTTTAAATCAATAAGTAGGGCACATTTCAAGAAAATGTAAATGTTCAACCTATACATTTCAAGAAAAATGTGGAATACTAAATGCCTTTCCTGAGGGTGAATACCTCATTGGCAAAGAAGAAATTCCAGATACTGCACTGTCCTGCCAGAGAGAGGGCTGTGCCACTATCAATTTGTATTTCTGGATTGCAATGAAATTTCAGAGACCCTCATGGTCATTAACATCAGCTGTCTGGAGTTGACTTGCGTTCTGTCCCCATCTACCCTGCCTTTCTTCTCTTACTGTTTGTTCACAATGTGAACCCCAGATGGAGGTTCCTCTTCTGATTCTGGCAGGCAGTCTGGTTTAGCAGACAGCAGAGAGTGCCTCTCAGTGACTGGTTTCTGAGAGCCACAGAAATTAGAGTTCAAATCTTAGTTGGCCTTTCCAGCTGTGTGACTTGGAGCATACTAGTTAGTCTCTCTGAATCTCAGTTTCCTTATCTTTTAGGTGGAGATAAGAATACCAACCTAAGCTAATGCAGACCACATGCTTAGTGTGGTGACTGGTGCCTCACAAGTGCTCAGTGTGAGTGACTATTCCCTGCCCAGCATGCAGTAAACGAGCACAATTTCTACAGACTCTGCAGGCTCTGCTTATGGGAGGACCTGCATTTTTAAATGGTTTGTCTTTGCCCAGTGAATCTGTGATCCCAGGTGTCCCAGCCTCGATGAGATCATGGCATTCAAGTAAGCTAGAAAATTCTCATCACCACAGATTTAAGGCTTTTACTGGGAATAGTTTCCTTCTAGGTTGATAGGGAGTGGCTGAGAGCCCATGCCCACCACTCAGCCTCCTTCAAGTGGCAGCCAGCACAACTTCTCCACATGTCATTTTGCTAAGTGGGAATTCAGGAGGATGAAGACCGTACTGGGAAAATGAAGCAATGGAGAAACACTAGAGGGTGGGAGTCAAACACTTGGGTTTCCCTCCCAGACCCACCACTCATGGCTATGTGACCTTAGGATAATATAAGATAGCCAGGGTCTCTAAGAGTGTGAATCTGGCACCTAAAAGTCCTGGTCTAGAAATTTGGCTTTACTACAGCCTTATCTGTGTGTCTTAGGGAGAAAGGCCTATCCTTTCTTGACCTCCGTTTCCTCATCTGTAAAAGTTCAAAATACCTGGTATATGGAGAACGCTCTGGACAGCAGCAGACTCATAGGAAGTGCTCATAGCCATTATTGCTTGAGTCTGGTTTCCTCGTCTGCATAATAGGATGGTCATCTCTTGCCCTGCCTACCTCAGAGGCCTCCAGAGAAACTCATCATAGGCTAGCTCTTCATAGGATGAAATCATCTGCAGCCTCAAATAATGATTGATGTTCTTACTGTTTCTGCAGCAGATTCTAGATGACCACTTGAAAGATCATGCTTCAAATTAGCACTCACCAATTACAATACAGAAAGAACACGCATATGTGATTTCATTTAATGTGTCCTAGTTGAGGTCACTACCCAAGTTATGGAAACTGATCATCTTCTGCCCTCGTGACAAGTTCATATCTCTCTATTCTTCCATTTTGCTGCAATTTTCTGAAACAAGAGGCCCAGTCCTCTTCAGAGGGTAGAATCTTCAGCTAGACCTTGGGAACCGCAAAGCAGAAATAGAGGCATCCTGGGAAAGGGGCAGCTTTCTCCTGGGATGGGGTAGGAGAGAAAGGTGGGCGATATTCCCAGTGTTACTGTGCCCTTCCTTCCAAGTTAGGCTGAATATAAAGCAGCTTGGATTCAGTCACCAAGCTTAACGGTGTGGGTGACAGAATAATTTAATGTCTTCTCCAGGAGGGCTAAGTAAACCCCAGCATAGACTTTTCACAATCATTGTTCAGACAGAGCCTGAATGCCCCTGGCTGTTGAGCATGTCATGGGACACAGGAGGTTGGCTATTTGCTGGATGCTCTCAGCAACTAAGAAATTTCCACCCTTCTCTGATTTTTTTCTAAGTCTACCTTGAGACTGAGTCACTTATCTCTGTGTCCCCTAAAACAGAGCACAGTATGTGGCACATATGCATAAAACAAGTGTTTGTTGGTTGAAGAAATAAATGCATGTACTGGGGGGGATGAGTATGGGAGAAAGGATGAATGGATTGATGACTCGTAGGCAGAAAGCAACAAAAATAAAAAGAGAACATACTGAAATGTCTTGGAATGTAGTCTAGAGGCAGTGCTCCTGGATTGCAGGTCATGTACTAAGCTAACTGCAAGGAGCCCTGCAGTATTTCGCTTCACATGCGTGCCAATTCTATAGAAGCTCCAGCAACCCAGATATAAATGCTGCCATGCACCCCTGGTCCATCTGTGTTCCAAGAATCTGAGGCAGAATCAGATGCTGGGAGTAGGATGAGAGGCACAGGATGCATTGCTGACTATCACTTTCCAGCCCCAAGCCCCAGGCTCCTTCTTTTTTGCCCTCCTATCCTTACTGCTGCACAAGTGACTCACCTGTATTGGACCTCCAGGCAAGGCAGAGTCATAGAAGCCCACTCTGTCGCAAAGATGGAAAATTGAAATAATAAATGGGGGCTTTGAAGGGAGAACATAAAGAGGATGAGAGGAATTGTAGCCTCCACATGACATCCCTGTTCCAGCTGTACCTCCAAGGAGCCCCAGGACCCACTTCCTCTTTCCACTCTTCTCACTAAGCTTTGGCTAAGTCAATTTCCATTTGCAGCAAAGGATGCTTGAGTAACACAAGGCACAATGTTCCCTCCTTTTATCTGTGTAATCCTCAGGGTTCAAAGCAATCTCTAATAAGCTAGCTATTGGTGCTCTTTTCTCCTTGGAGAGAAAATAAGTAAATCTCATAAAGATATTTGCCTTCTAAACACCTGATCTACTCCTTTCTCTGAAAGTATTTGGCCCAAAAATGTCTTTCTCAGGGAGCTGGATAAATGGAGTTTGCTAAGGACCTAGATGCCAGGAGAGAGAATTATGGAGGTGATGATTAGCATGTTTCCTCATCCATGAGACACTCTGTGTCTCTAAGAGATGGTTAACAGGCATCTAGATCTCCACAGTGGGTTAGGAAATCAAAGGTTCTCAACCATCACCACCACATACCCCAGTGAACCAGCTACCCTGGTAACTAGATACAAATTCTGCCACAATCTCTTTGGGGTTTAATTTTCACGGGGCTCTGGTTACAAATCATCAAAGAAATTTGAACCAGTGGCAGTGCACATACAGTTAATTGAGTCATTTTTTCCCAGGATGTCAGCTTTTGTTGCTATTTCTATTCTGAAACACTGACTCACACTGTTAATTTAAACTGTGTGTGTAACCGTGGAGATTTCATTACCTTTGGCATTCTTTTTTATTCTGTCCTAGAAAATCTAATTTCAGAAAAGAGAGAAGGTAAAAGTCACTTCCACCCGCTGCACTCGAATCTTTCACATACACAAAAGTTTCCATTGGTCTACTGGAAGAAATCCCCATTGGTGCCATTTTCTACCTTGTTGCCTAATGAAATAAGAAAGGTGTGGTTCTGAGAGATGCCCTCCAATGTGCCATTCCAGAGCCAACTCTGCAGCAACCTTAACTCTGATCTGTGGTTTACCAGCCCATAAGAGAAGAAAAGTGAACCAGATGATCTCGAAGGAAATTTCCAGCTTTGACATTCCAGAAAAATCGCCCCATGGTAGCCTTTTCCTGAGTGTACATCACAGAATACTGGTTTACTCCTTCATCAGGCCATTCAAAAGGTATTTACTGAACACCTCTTTTGGCACCACGGGGTGTCTAGACACTTGTAAACTGCAATGGTAAAGAGCATGATTCTGGTGTCAGAGGCTTGTGTCTGAGCCCTGGCTTCACATCACTTACTAGCTGTGTGAAACTGGACAAGTTCTGTGCCTCAATTTTCTTATCTATAAAATGCAGTAATCATCGTATCTGCCTCATAGGGTTATTGTAAATATGAATGAGTTAGTCCATTTATTGTAAATATGAAAGAGTCATGTGCCAAAGTACTTAGAACTATGGCTGGCCTGCAATAGGTGTTGTTTTTTGTTGTTATAACACTGGTGAGCAAAAGCCAGCGAAGTCACTCTCTTCATAGCGCTTACAGTCTTATATGGGAGACAGATATTTATCAAACATTCATTCAAACAAAGATAAAATGCAATTATGGCAAATTTTATACATGTATATGTTGCTATAAGAGCTTAAAATATGGATATTTTGACCCAGTTAAGGAAGGTTTCCCTAAGCGTGAGCTTAGATGCAGAGAATAATACAGGAGTTACTTCAAGGAATGGAGGGTATATTATATTTTAAATATGGGCAGTATTGAAAAACATAAAAGAATAAAAGGAAAGGCATTTCAGGCAGAGGAATCAGCTTGTTTAAAGGCCTATGGAGGAAGGAAGCAGGTGCAATGCACTGATGCTGATTCTGTGTCCTCCTGTGTATCTAGGTACATGCTAGGATTGCATGTCCCTGCCTCTGTGAATGTGGATGTGAACATGTGACTTTTTCCACCCAATGGAATGTGAACAAACATTTGTGTGTATGCACACCATGCCTGCGTGGAAGCCTCGAGAGCTAGCATGCAATTGGCCATGCTTTCTTCTAGTGCATGCACCCCCCTGCAGGCTGCCACTGCTAATACACACTGGACACATACTGTAAGCAATAAATGAGCCTTTTTGCTTTTAAGATGCTGTGATTTGGGGGTTGCTTTTTGCTGCAGCTTAACCTACCATATCCTGATTCATAGAGAAGGTCAATAAAACTGGCAATAAGAGAGTAAAGGGAATTAAGGGGTAAGGTAAGATAGGGCAGTGTTTAGGGTCAACAGTAAAAAGATTTTGTTTGTCAAGTTAAGGAGAGGTGATGCCATCCTAAGAGCAAAGGCAAGTTACTAAAGGGTCTGAAATGTAGAGAAAAGATGGGAAAGAGGGCAAAGAGTGGGGAAGCAAGAATAAATAGACCTGGGGAGTCAACTGCATGGCCCAGGCAAGAGATCATGATACTTGTGCTATAGTGGTGGTAGCAGAGATGGGAAGTAGTGGACATCTTTGAGATCTATTTGGGAGGTTGGAATTGATGGGACTTTGGTGATGGTCTATGAGTAGTGAAACAGGAGGAGGCTTCCATATTGCTGGCTTGTCCAACTGGACAAATGATGGGGCCACTTATTGAGATGGCTCATAATAAACAAGGAGCCAAAAGCAGGGTTTCAATTAGTAAAACTTTCTTGTGTCCAAGAACGGTTTCCGGCAGAAGGCTTATAGCAACATTAATTCATCAGCAAGAAAAAAATTAGCTCTAACTGACAGTGCAGGTATTTCTAAAAATAATCCCAAGTACTCTATCATGCAAGCAAAGAATGTGCTTCAGAAAAAGAGTTTCTTCCCCCACCACCCAAAGGAAAACATCCAGAAAAAACCTGTCATTATTCTTGTCATTTTTGCAGAGGTAGGGGATTTTTCCTCATGATAGATTATGATAAACATATCATGCCTATTAAGAGTTCAAAAAGGGAAGTAAAACTTGTTTGTTCTATTTGACTTTATTGAAAGTAGTAGAAGCGACACAAACTTTGAGTCAGAGGAGCCTGTGTTTGAACCCGAGATTTTCCACTTACTAGCTGGGTGAACTCAGGTCAGTCATCACATTTCCACACACCCCAGTTCACTCATCTGTACTACTAACACAGAGAATTAATGTTAACCTCTTACTGGAGGAATTATCTGATAGAGATATTAACAGGGGGTTTGTAATAGAGGTGTGAGACCTGGATAAGACTATTCACTTCTCTTTCCCTATGAAGATCTTGTTCAAAGAATTCTAAACAGAAGAAACAGTAGCTAATTGGGATTATGACTCCTGCTTCAATTCCTTCATATAGATGTTACAACTGGGTTGAACAACGTTGCTTAAGCCAAAAAACTAAAGTAGGGCTCTGGCTTTCTGCTTTTGCTTTGAATCTGAGGTGGCTAGTAGTCACAGATAGCAGAGAGGAATGGAAAGAGAGAGTGTGGCCAGTCCTGATTGGGAGGCTGGCTCTTTCCAGATGTTCCTGCCTTGTGCAGACAGAGCATGCAAGAGAAAGGTTGTATTTCCCTTTGATCCTTACCTAGGTGAGTCTGTTACCAGTAGCACATGGGCCAGTAACGTTAATAATATCTACTGGTTAATCTAATAGCTAAGATGATTTTGAAATGGCATTGAGTACAAAAAATTTTTCTCAAATCCCTGAGGCAACGGTAATATAAAATGAAAATATCAGGGATTTCTGCTGGTGAATACAATCACAGGTACCATTAGTACCATTACAGCTTGTTATGTACATTCATAATAGAAGATTACAATTCTAATAGGTAGAAGTTAGCAGAGGTACTTTTTTTCTTTTCTCATCCAAGTTTATTCCCCTACCCTACTGGGATCCTACCCAGGTACCTACCCCCTTCCCCACCCCACCAGTGTTTAGCGCCTGCAGAAGTCTTTGTTTGTTTGTTTGTTTTTTGATTTTTTTTTTTTTTTTTTTGAGATGGAGTCTCAGTCTGTCACCAAGGCCGGAGTACAGTGGCACCATCTTGACTCACTGCAACCTCCGCCTCCCGGGTTCAAGGGATTCTCCTGCCTCAGCCTCCCAAGTAGCTGGGATTACAGGCACCAGCCACTACGCTCAGCTAATTTTTTGTATTTTTAGTAGAGACGGAGTTTCAACATGTTGACCAGGCTGGTCTCGAACTCCTGACCTCGTCATTCACCCGCCTCAGCCTCCCAAAGTGTTGGGATTACAGGCGTGCGCCACCGAGCCTGGCCCATTTTTTTTTTTTAATGTAATAGTTTTATTCAGGTGTAATTAACGTACCATACAATTCGTCCACTTAAAGCGTATAACTCAGAGGTTTTAGTGCCTTTCAGAGAGGTGTGCAACTGTCACCACAACTTTAGAACATCTTTATCATCCCCAAATGAAACCTCATTCCTGTAGCAGTCACTTCCTCCCCACTTTCACCCAGACCTAGGCAACAACTAATCTACAATTTTGCTATTCTGGACATTTTATATAAATAAAATCATACAGGCCTGACATGGTGGTTCACACCTGTAATCCCAGCACTTTGAGAGGCTGAGGTGGGCGAATCGCTGGAGGTCAGGAGTTCGAGACCAGCCTGGCCAGCATGGCGAAACCTGTCTCTACTAAAAATATAAAAATTAACCAGGCATGGTGGCAGGCACCTGTAATCCCAGCTACTCGGGAGGCTGAGGCAGGAAAATCACTTGAACCCAAGAAGTGGAGCTAAGATCGCACCATTGCACTCCAGCTTGGGTGACAGAGTGAGAAACCATCTCAAAATAAATAAATAAATAAAATAAAATTATGCAATATGTGGTCTTCTATAATTGGCTTTTTACACATAGTGTGTTTTCAGGCTTCATTCATGTTGTAGCATATATCAGTGCTTCATTTCTCTTTTTTTGCTGAATAATATTCTGTTATATAAATACAACAATTTGGTTTATTTATTCATC